CTACAAACTGACCTCCAGATTTTATTTGAGCATTCTATAGACTAAAAAACAACAGAAGCGGAACCAACCAATATTAAAGAAGATTCTACTTTATTCATACGCAACCTAATGAGATCTCTGAGGAACAAAAAAGGACTGTAATTAAACCACTCACAATTTCAAAACCAACAGAAATGGATATATCGAGAACTATGATAGCTTGGATAAGCAACTATTAACTACAAAGTTGGACATAACTGAGTCTGCTATTCAACAGATCCAAATGTGGAGACTTGACTCTTTAAAACAACAAGGGGCTATTTACAAAGGAGTCAGGTCTCTAAAACAGAAAAGGGGACACTTTTGCTTGACCCAAATGATACTACAAGGCACAAAAAGAGACTTGTTCATTGATATAGAGGCGTTGCTATGGAAACCTGCCTGGCACAAAAAGAAAGCTAGAATAAGGTTTAAGAGTATGATTCAAGGCTCTATATAATGGGTTTAAAAGGCTTATTAGATATGGATTGATTTATGGTTTAAGATAGTTAAATAAGATGTTAAATTGAATAAAAATTAATTAAAGATTTGAATTTAATAAGAAGATAAACATCTTCTTATTAAATTTGTGTATTAACATGTTTGTTGTGGATATAGTAATTTTGGGAGGGGGTTAAAAGAGTTTGATATAGATATTGAGGGATTGAAAGATCATAAAGTATAATAGAGTAGAAAGGTATTTTTTTGTTTTTTTTGTTTTCTTTTTTGAACTAATATTCTTGTTATTAGAAATGATAGTTATTTTGTAATGGAAGAAGAATAAGAAAAAAGAAATGATATTAATAAATGATTATTGATTATGTCAAGGAAAAAGGGAATGGAGAGACACCTGAAGTGTTAATTATGTATTTATACTAGCAAAATGGAATATAGTAATTGAAATAGTAAAGCTTAACATAGGATTTGGACTTATTTAGATGAAATGTTATTGATGATTGTTTTGATTGACTTAGTTGTATTGAAATACATTAATTTGAATATAATATATTATCAGAGGGAATAGAGAGGGGGTTTCTAATGATTTAATCTGAACTATATAAGTATGACTTTGCTTTTGGACAATTGATTCCAATTGTCACCACCACGTTGATTCTTAAGCACTTGTTTGTAAAATGAAAAAACTAATAAAACGTGTTTTTTTTTTTAAAAAAGTAACTTATGAAGTTGAGCAGGCGTAAGGAGACATAACCAGATTCAGGAACTTCCTGGAGTTTTCTTCAAAATTCTTTCTAGGACAATAAAACTTCTTGACTGGAAAAAGGACAAGTGCCAAATTGGCGTGAGTTCCTGGGATTCCAGATAGATGCTGCTGGGATCCATCCACCTTAGGCTAAGCTCAAAGCCATTCAGCAAGCCCCCAGACCTAAATCTAAGGGGGAGCTACAGGCATTCTTAGGACTATTAAACTTTTATCACTCATTTTTGCCAGACAAAGCAGCATTGGCAGAGCCACTCCACCGTCTGCTAGACAAAAAAGCACCTTGGGTGTGGACAAACAACCATGACAAGGCATTCAGAGCAGTCAAATCACTGCTATCTTCGAGCTCCATGTTAGCTCACTTTAACGAGAATCTGCCAGTGACATTAGCATGTGATGCCTCGCCTTATGGCATTGGAGCAGTGTTAAGTCATCGAATGCCAGATGGTCGTGAAGCCCCTATTGCTTACTACTACCCTAGGACATTATCTCCAGCTGAGAGGAACTATGCTTAAATTGACAAAGAAGCTCTCACTATTGTCACAGGAATTAAAAAATTCCATGACTTCTTATACGGGCGACCATTTATAGTTTTTACAGATCACAAGTCGCTGCTTGGCCTTTTCACGGCTGACAAGCAGACTCCGCAGATCCTGTCACCAAGGATGCTGCATTGGTCAATCTTTATGGCTGCCTGTTCATACAGGCTAGTACATAAGCCTGGCAAGGAAATGGGCCATGCTGATGCACTCAGCCGAGTGCCCCTGCCACAAACAGATCCAGATCCAGCCCCTGCAGCTCACATCCTGGCAATCCAGGATCTTCCAGAGACACCCTTACATGCGGGAGATGTGGCCGCTGAAACTGCCACTAACAGAACACTCAGCCGCGTTCTCAACTGGGTGTTGAGGGGGTGGCCAGAAAACAGACCAGGTCCAGAGTTTCAACATTATGCTTGCAGAAAAGATGATCTGTCAGCCCACAAGGGTTGCATGCTGTGAGGAAACAGAGTAATTGTCCTGCCCAATTTGCAAGCCAGAATGTTAGAATCCTTGCATGAGGGACATCCAGGTATCGTAAGAATGAAAGCACTTGCAAGAAGTTACTTGTGATGGCCTGGTCTGGACAAGGACATTGAGGCTCAAGTAAGAAGCTGCCAGGTCTGCCAAGAGACCTGTCCAGAAATGCACCTGTGCACCCCTGGGAGACCACGCAAGCCCCATGGTCTCGTGTGCACATTGACTTTGCAGGTCCATTTCAGGGTCAGGTATTCCTCATTGTTGTGGACAGTTATTCAAAATGGTTAGAGGTAGTACCTGTCCAATCTATGACTACTGCCAGGGTCATCCAGGAACTGCACCGGCTATTTGCCACACATGGACTACCGGACATTATTGTGTCTGACAACGGGGCACAATTAACAGCAGCAGAATTCCAATCGTTTCTTAATGCTAATATGATTAGACACACCACTTCGGCTTCGTTCCATCTAGCTTCTAACGGCCAGGCTGAATGGATGGCAAGGTCCACTAAAGACTCCCTTAAAAGACTGACTAAGGGAGACTGGAATCATCGCCTGGCAAACTTTCTTCTATGCCAGCACACAACTCCAAGCACTGCAACGGGACGCAGCCCAGCTGAGCTAAGGTGGGGATGGCGGCTCACAATGAAGCTAGACTGCCTCCACCCTGACAGGATAGCTGCTGAAATGGTGCAACCCAAGTTTCCCCGGAATTTACAGTTGGGTGAGCATGTTTGGGCTAGGAACTATGGGCAGGAGGCACCTTGGGTGGCTGCTACAGTTACAAAAGTGTCAGGGCCACTATCATATGAGGTGGCTCTGGATGATGGTCATGTGATCCGATGCCACATAAACCAGTTGAGGTGTCGGCAGACAAAGCAGAGCTCAGATGCAGATTTAGAAGAGACTGTGATAATCATGGCAAAGCTGCTGTCCCAGTATCACCCACACCTGCCGAGACTGTGCTTACCAAGACAGAGGCACCAAAGATTTTTGCACCACCTCTGCTGTCAAATGACTCAGATGCACATAGCGGCACAGGTCTACCGCCCTTGCCACCCAATGACTCAAATGACTATAGCAGCACAGGTCTACCCAGTGCGGACAACCTGCAAGTCGAGATAGAACCCCAAACAGCTTTGCGGCATTCTGGCAGAACTCTCAACCCACCGGTCTACCTCAAAGACTATGTATATACAAGAAATCATTTTATCCAGGGGGAAGGGGTTTTATGTATTGATATTAAGAGTTGATGTGTTTTGGTTTAAACGTGTCTCCAACCATTTTGGAGGGAAAGTTAAGTTTAAGTTTGAGTGGGAAAACACCATTTGATTTGATTGGTTGCCGCCTAGAGGTGGCAAGTATAAATAGCCGTCATTCTGTTGGTTAAGCCAGTTCTGTTCCTGTTGAATAAAATCACGTTGTATTAAACCGGTCTATTCAATGCCTCCAAAACCCACTACATAACAAAACCCATGATTCTTTTTGTCTAGTTTAAATATTTCTTTCAGTTGTATATATGTAAACCAATGGCAGACATGACCTTCTGATTCTAGCTCCTCCTTGGATTTGAGGGTAGGATCACCCAAATTAAAAGATATTATTTTACCATAAATCCACCAATTTGGCCTCATCACCATCTCTTTTCTAAAAAAAGGCTTCTTGTAGAGAAACCCAAAGTGGCACCTTCATAGAGATTCTTGTTTTATATTTATTCCAAACTCTCAAAATGGCACATCTAACAAAATGATTGTTAAAATCAACATTTACTTTAACTTTAGTATACCACAAGTAACCATGCGAGCCAAACCTTAGTCCATGGCCTAAGTCCAATAACCTCTTATTTTGAAGGTTCACCCCTTCTTTTAGCCAGACGAAGCAACAGGCATCAAAATACAATTTCAAATCAGCTAGACCTAACCTCCTCTTTCCCTAGCATCTTGCAATAGTCTATATCTAATTCTCATTTTTTTTCTTCTGCCATATGAACTTTGAAATATCCCTCTGCCATTGTTTAAATGGAATATCAATTGCAAGTATTGGTAGTGTTTGAAACAGGAAAAACATCTTTGGTAAAACATTTATCTGCAAAACATATTACAATCTCCTTATCAATTAAAATTTTAATGTGTTACCAACCCATTTTGTTTGTTGAGATGTTCTACAACTGCCTTGCTCAGTGGTGCAGTTAAAGCATTGTTTTCTCAAAATAGTCATTTTGAGATCTTCAGTAGAGATATGATAGTTTGATCTGGGTGAAAGCTGGAAGGGTAACAGAGTTTTGTGAATGTAATTGTGGATATTTGGAGTCTTTAGTTTTTGAAATAAAATCCTCCATGTATATTTTGTATTTGCAAAATAATAAGATTCCTACAGGCAACTTTATTTCCTGGAATAGTCAAAGTGGTCACATAGTCACATGTTCATTTCTAGTAGTTTTATGGGAAAGAAAGGCTCTGTCTGAGTATCCAGCCTTAACACATGCTACTTTGAATAAAATAGATCCCCCATCTAGTCATGAAGGTTGCATGACTCCTCCTGCCCTTAAGCTTGTGACTTTTTAAGTGAATTTTAAAGAATCTTGCTTCCTTCATGGGAAACAAAGAGAATCTTGAAAACGCAGAACAGGATTCAGCCCAAAGCTTAAAACTCAACAGAAATAAAAGTTGTAGTGGTCCAGACAGTAGTGGAAACATTGGTCATCATGTAGTTTAAAGCAGAATTCTTCCTCTCTTTTTGTAGGATTAATTGCCTTTTCACTTCTGCCCCAACTAGCACAAAAAGTGAAGCTCTTTCTGTGTTTTACTCCTGCTTACACATTGAGGGGTATCACAGGGCTTCCCAAAGCACTGGGAAAAATTCCTCCTGGACTAAGAAAAGTAAGTGTATCTCTTGCTTTTATTAGTGTATTAAACTAATTAAAAAAGTTTTGAAAGAGCACATTCTCTTTTATTCAGTTTTCTGGAAAAATGTATTAAGAGGATGCTTTGTGCATTCAGTGAGATTTATTTATCAGTAATTTTAACACAACCTGTTTTTAGTAGAAAAAATAGATTAATTCTAACTCATCTTTAAATTACCTTTAAAGGTTTTCTTACCACCTAAATATTGCTAAGGGGCTTAAATGTGCTTGATTTTCAGTTTTAGTTGATACTGCCTGAATATTTTAGAACAGACCTGGGCATTTTATGGCTGTGGGCCATATCTGGTCCTTTCACTGTCCGAGTCTGGCTTGAGGAGGGGGCAGTAGCATTCAGGAGGTTGGACACTGAAGACATTTTTAGAAGTAGTATTTGTATTTAATATACAGTTAGTCCTTAAAGAATGACTATAATAGAGCCCAGAATTTGCATTGTGAGTCATGATGATTGCAAATCGATGCACCCATGTGACTGGACCTAATTTTATTACTTTTTTTGTGGTGGTCATTAAGCAAAAAACACAGTCATTAAGAGAACACCAAGTTAAGTGGTGAATCCACATTTTCCTATGGGTGCTTTTTGCTGGAAACCAGCTCCAAAAGCCAGAAACAGTAAATCATGGTCAGGTTGGTGAGCCGATTTCTAAGTGCCCAAAATTGGTCATGTGATTGTGAATACGTGTGCAGCCATCAGAACTCCAGAATTGGATCTTAAGTAGTTTTTTGGGGGTCGGTCATAAGTTTGAATGGTCTCCATGTGACTGGTCATTAAGCAAGGACTATCTGTATATATGTGAATGTACATAGAATTATAATTACAGACACACAATGCATAATTGGGCAGGCAAAGGAGGAACACTTAATATTTATGCATTTTTATTTTACAGCTAATATGGGGCAAGAAACAATATTATCTTTTAAGTAACAGATTAAAAGCCTTCATGGCCTATGGATGTAGCTATGCCGTATTCGATAAGCTTTGCCTTCAAGTTATTTTCTTTATGGGAGGATATAATGCAAAAAACCTAAATACAGTAAGTAAGCTTTACTTTTATTGTAATTTCTATGAGGAGGTGGGAAAAGAAGAGGAAGAAAAAAAGCAGCTTAAGTCATCCAAACAACAATGTAGTATCTCACACTTGTTTTTCTTTTGTTACTCTAGGACACATTTTTATCTATATTTGTACAATATATTTTGAAGAGCCTCTCTCCTCAATAATTATTAGACTATAGAATCCTGAAATAGTTGTTTTGTCAACTGAACAAACACAGAGTAAAAACTGACTCTTAGAAATCTGCTCTGAATTTGTGTCTGTAGCACCAAAACTGTGCAAATAGAGTAATTACAACTAAATATGAAATTATATTGTTGATTGATATTTGGGGATGAAAAAGTCAAAAGGATTCTTATAGGAGGACAGGAAGGCCTGCTCCCACAATATTAGTAGATATTTTTAGAGTCAATGTTTGAAATTTCCATTTCATTTACTAAGAGTTTTCAATGAAGCTGTGCAATAGCTTGGGGTAAAAAAGCTACTGAATTAAACCATGAGGTTTCATTGCTGCAGGTGAACTTGATCCTGGGTTCCTTCCTGTAAGGTGATCAACTCTACATCATATGCAAGACATATAAACAAGCAACAGGGTTTTCATCACTCAGTGGCAGCCATCATCTTGACTTTGTAAAGCTCCCTATATTCCTTCCCTCTTACCCCCTCCCTTTTTTGGGTCATCACTTAAATCAGGGATGTCAAACTCGCAATTTGACACCCCTGACTTAAATCTTGCAGGTCTGTGCTGTCAAAATTCCATCACAAATTACTTGGGTGGTTCATTTCTTTTCACTTTTTTCTTTATTTAAAATAATGTGTGTCTAAGATATGTAAGGACCCACTTTAATCCCACATTTTAAGAAAGCAGAACTCTTGGAAACAATTTCTTCCAACAGGAACTTTTATTAAGAGCAGTTGATAGCAGGCATAATAGACAAGATCTGAGGGATTTCTTTACAGATCGATACTTTAAAGTATCCCTAAGCAAATCCCACCCCACAGTTCATCCGGATGGTTCAGACCGGCCAATCCCCAGGTGTTAAGTCCATCGTGGGAAAGGGGAGATAACATCGGTCCAGCTCCGGTTGTAGCACGATGTTCAACAGCTCTTCACACCTCCTTTTGAGATCGGAGAAATAAGCCAGGCTCTGGAGGTTTGTATTTCTCCCCCCCTCTTTTCCTAGCTGCCAGGTTAGGAAGAAGAAAGTTCAGAGAGATGTATGGTGCAGGAGGCAATTTGTTACATGGTAATGGGCAGCAGACACAGAGGCAATAAACAAAAGGTTACATTGTAGAGGAAGTGAAAGTAATAACCCCGTAGGCATATCTCCCCTCCCCCTTGGGAGTATGGCAGAACCCAGGGGAAGGTGAGATTTGGTTTTAGATCAGAGGAGATAGGTAGAAATGAAATATAAATGGGTTCGACATCCTGCCCCCCTTAAAAATAAGAGAGATCCACCTGTAGAGAAAACAAAACAGCTATAGAGGTTAGTCTGATTTGTTGGGATATTCTGTATGAAACGTCTTTAGTAGTTTCGATGCTCTGACATGACGTTTATGGACCCAACTCGTTTTGTGAGGAGGAAAGGTGTTTCCATGCTACTAGGTATTGAGTTGCCCTGTGATACTTCCTAGAATCTAGGATTTCTTTTATCTCGAAGTGTTGTTCTCCTTCAACCATGATTGGGGGGTGGGGGGAATTTTTAGCTGTAAGGGCGACTGTTATTCTCTTTTCAGCAAGCTGTAGTGAAAAATTGGGTGTATTTGCCTGAGGTTTTTGGGTAGTTCTAATTCTACTGTTACTGGGTTTATGATTCTTTTAATTGGAAAAGGTCCTATATATTGTAGGCCAAGTTTTTTACAGGGCTGTAGGGATTTTAGGTATTTTGTAGACAAATATACCATTTCTCCTACAATGAATTGTATGAATTCGACTCTCTTTTTATCTACTTGTGCTTTGTATGCTTGCCTAGCTTCATCTAAGGCTTTCCTAACTACTGGCCAGGTGTTTTGTAATTGTGCTATCCATTCCTTCAGCAATGGGATTGCCGGTTCATTTGGGATTAGTTCTGGCTTATGGTTGAAACTTTGACTGGTGGCTATTTGAAAGGGAGTGTAGCCTGTGCTGGAGTGGACTGCATTATTGTAAGCAACTTCTGCAAAAGGGAGTAGGTCCATCCAATTCATTTGCTAGAAATTAATAAAGCATCTTAAGTATTGCTCAAGTACTGAGATAGAATGTTCGGACTGTCCATTACATTGAGGATGATGACTAGATGACAGTCCCTGAGTGGTTCCTAAGAGAGATAAAAATTCCTTCCAAAATTCTGATGTAAATTGCACTCCCCTATGAGATATGATGCGTTGGGGTGCCCCATGCAGTCTGTAGATGTGCTGCACGAATAGTTTTGCTAAGGTTTTTGTGGTGGGAATCTTTTTGCAAGGGATAAAGTGCACTTGTTTGGAGAACAAGTCCGTAACCACCCATATGACAGTGTTTCCATTGTTTTCTGGTAATTCCACTATAAAATCCATGGATATTTCTTCCCAGGGGGCTGAGAGATTCACCACTGGTTGTAATAGTCTGGGCAATTTCCCTTGCAACCTCTTAGCAGTTGTGCACATTGGGCAGCTGGCCACATAACTTTCTATGTCCTTTTTCATGGACGGTCACCAAAATGGTCTTTTAATTAAATGTAATGTTTTTACAAATCCAAAATGCCCTGCTGATTTTGTATCATGGCATAGCTGCATGAAAGTGACCCTCTAGGTGTTTGGTATATATAACTTTCCCCCCACCCATGGCAGTCCGTCCTTGATTGTGCACACATGTCTATTTTTCTGGAACCATTCATCTGTTTCCAAAGTTTTCCGGAATTCAATTCCGGTTTGGCTACTCAGCTGTGGCTTTAATTTAGCTTGGGCTCTGGTGGTTACTGGCGCTGCCAGTTGTGGTTCAGGCATGAGTGGTTTAGAATCGGTGGCTCACGTGCTGTTGTATTGGGGCATGCGAGACAGTGAATCTGCCAGGAAGTTCTCCCCCCCCCGTAAGTGCTTGAGCGTAAAACCGGAATTAGTGAAAATGCTGGGACCAGCGGGCTTGCTTGGGAGTGAGCTTCCTGGGTGTTTTTAAGGCTTCCAGGATTTGTGGTCCGTCCAGACCTGAAAATGAATTTTATTCCCTTCAAGGAAATGGCGCCACGTAAGTAACGACCATCTCATCCCGTATGCCTCTTTTTCCCACACCGCCCAGTATTGTCCCATTCCGGTGAGTTTCCTGGCTGTGTACGCTCATGGTTGCAATACCCCTTCGTTATTTTCTTGTAATAGTACAGCCCCCACTGCCACATCACTTGCATCCACCTGTATTACGAAAGGTTTATCCATGTCTGGGTGCCTCAGTACAGGTTTGGCGGAAAAAGTCTCTTTAACCTCTCGAACGCCACTTGGCATTCCATTGTCCATTTTAGTGGCTGGCTAGGTTTCACTGAGGATTCTCCCTTCGTTTTTAGTAAGTTTGTGAGGGCAGAGCTATTTGGGCGAACGAAGGGATGAATTGGTGGTAAAAGTTTGCAAAACCCAGGAAACTTTGCAACTGCTTCCTTGTGCGAGGTGGTGCCCATTCTAGTACTGCTCTGACCTTCTCAAGGTTCATTTCAATGCCCTGTGGGGATATGCGATAACCCAGGTAGTCTATTCTTTCCTGGTGGAATTCGCATTTCGATAATTTGGCATATAGGTGGGCAGCTTGCAGTTTCTTTGAAACGCTGCTAATATTGAATATTCTTGCTTTGACACCACTCTGACTAGGTTGACATGTTCCTCTTTGGATTCAGTGAAGATAAGGATGTTGTCTAGATAAATCAGGACCCCCTTAAATAGGTGCTTCCTTAGTACCTCGTTGATTGCATAAATACTGTGGGGGCCCCCTGTAGTCCAAATGGCAAAACTTTGAATTGGTAGCACCCCATTGAGCAATTAAATGCAGTTTTCCATTCATCCCCTTCCTTAATCCTAACGCGGTAATACGCTTCCTTTAGGTCTAGTTTAGTGAAAATTCTTCCTTTCGAGAGGTGGGATAACATGTCCTTCATGAGGGGTAGGGGGTATAGGTTGCTTTCACTGATTGCATTCAGGGCGCGGTAATCCACGCATAAGCGCAAAGTGCCATCCTTCTTCTCTCTAAAGAGGACTAGGGCGGCTACCTTAGGCTTGGCAGGTTCGATAAATCCCCTTTCTAAATTTTTATTTATGAATCTTTCCATTTCCTCCTTCTCCTTAGGGCTCATAGAGTATAGTCTGGGCTTCGGGAGTTTTGCCCCGGGCTTGAATTCTATGGCATAATCCGTGGGTCACTGAGGGGGAAGCTCATCCACCAGCTCCTCACTGAAAACTTCAGCAAGGTTTCGGTATTCCTCTAGTATTTTGGGTAGTCCCTTTTCCTCTCCCACTGATGCTTTCTCCGTTCCTAGGTTTGATAGGGCTCCTTGGGGTTTTAAGTTCGCACGATCCCCTTTTGGAAAATTGAGTTCTGCCATCCTCCAATTTAACCAGGAATTCCATTTCTTTAACCATTCCAGCCCTAGGATCACTGGGCATTCCATGTCTGGGGTCACTACAAACATTATGTCTTCCTCATGGTTCCCCAGGGATAGGTGGACTGGTAAAGTGGCTAGGGTAAAGCTGGCACCCCACCGCTAGGGACCCATCTAACTGGCCAAATGAGATTGGTTGTTTCAGCCTCCTCACCAGAATGCCCAAGTTCCCCACTAGTGTCAGGCTAATGAGGCAGCGGGTGCAGCCAGAGTCTATTAGGGCTTTCACTTTGACAGCTTCGGGCATGGAGGGAGCTAATATAGTCACTGTCTTGAGGATGGGTGTGATGGGTCCACTTACCAGGGGTTTGCCCTCTGAGCTGTCGTCTGAAGTGTCCACCGCCCCTGCAGTGTAGGCCGGAGTTCCCTCCCCATGTTTGGCAGGGG